CGTCGCCGCACGCCGCGCCGCGCGGGGGTCACCTTTTCCGGGGAGGGAGGCGGCGGCCCTCGGGAAGGCGTCGCGGGGTCCTCTGGCCACACCCCGGGAGCCGCGCCGGCGGAACCGTGGCTCACGCCCGAAGGGCAGCCTGCAGCCGAGCGCGGGCGAGGAGGGCGGGGAGGACGCGAGCGCCCCGGCAGGTCGGAAAGCCCGAGGGGCTCTTCCCGCGGCTGAGTCACCGTGCGCGGGGAGCGTGCGCGCCGCGGCCGCCGGGCCAAAGCCTGGGCGCGGGGGAGCCGGAGAGCTCCGGACGCGAGCAGAGCGAGGCGCTTGCTCTGGGGCTGCAGCCCGGGCTGAGCTTGCCCGGCCGAGGGCTGAGCTGTTGGGCGGCTCGTTGGTACCCCTGCCCCGGGGAGCCCGCGAGGGCTACTCCTACACCAGTGGGCTCGGGAAAGCCTTCCGCGACTTGCGAAAAGGGCAGCGAGGGAGTTCATGGACAGAGTTGGCAAGGAGAGAGCGAGGTCACTTAGGAAAGTCAGAAAGGAGGGGCTGGGTTGAAGCCTTGAAGACCTAGGAGACCATGAAGCCCAAAACCGGGCTCCCTCGTCGAGTGACCAAGTCCAGGGCTTAGGGCACTGTACAGGACACGCCACACGCTGCACGGTATGTGTACAGTGCTCCGACCTAAATGGCTTGTGTGAGAACTTGTGGAAGAAGCTACCTAGCTGGAGCGGATACTGTTGGTAGGAGAGGCCAGGATAAGAAAACTGTTGAGACTGCCTGAAAAAATGATGATGTCCTCCACTTGCTGTCCCTGAGAATGGACAAGTTCTTTAATCAGAGCCTCATTTTCCTGAGGTTCAGATAGGGTACTGACGAATAAATGAGTTTGATATATGCCAAGCTTTTAGAACCTTGCTCTTGGAAGTATGCTGTTTAATCATTACCTGTTTTTTAAAGTTAATAATGTTTAATGTTAATATTAGTGAATGGAGGCTATCCGAGAGACATGCTGTTAGAGCCCAGAAGTAAAGTTTAATCTTGTAAAAGATCTATAGAAGCTTCATACATCGATTTGGTAGAATTTGATTTAAAGCGAAAAAAAAAAAAAAAAATGATTTAAAAAAAAAAAAAAAAAAAAAAAAAGGCCAGTAGGTATAGATGCCATTCAATCTCCCAGTAAATGTTTTCTGATCATTTATGTATTACGTGCCAGCCATTGTTGAGGCTTAGAAAATTTCTCACTGAGTTCAGTCAGCTAAGGGAGCAAAGCCAGCAGCCACTCAGGGGAGAGGATTTCCCGTGCACTGGGAAGAGGTGGGGAGTGGCAAGGAGGTGATGTAGCAGAGGCCAAAGCCCACTTTGTGAGGGTATATTGCAGAAATACTGGGACTTGGGGGATGTGATGGGAGTGTGAGGGTGTGGCACTGCCACATGAGCAGCCTCATCTGGCCAGATAAGGTATTTACCACAATGAGATGGAAAAGTACTATTTTAGATTTTTTTTTTAAAAAAGCATTATTTATTTATTTATCTGTTTGGTACAGAGTATCACTACCCAGCTCAGATTCATAGTGATCCTCCTGTCTCAGCCTCCCTAGTGCTGGGATTACAAGGATGCACCACCTGGCGGGGTTTCAGTGGCCAGCCTTGGGAGGGGCCAGCACTGCCATACCTGAGATCGAACCCTTGTCCTTGTGCTTGCCAGGAAGGTGCTTAGACCACTGAGCTATCTCCTGGGCCCCCATTGTAGATTTTTAAAAAATCTCTATAACATGGCCGAACTTGAATTTTTAGATAGGAGCTGGGCCGAAGATAAAGCAACTTTAGTTACTATTTATTGATTGCCCACTGTGGGCATACCTGGTTTTGAGTAACCATTTCACATGATAGATACTATTGTTGTAGGCTCACCTTTACACAGAGGCAGGGAGATTAGTTTGCACCTCTGAGGTGGGCCCCTGCGCAGTGAGCGCCCTGCAGCGTCACTGCTAGACTGTCACCGTCTTAATTTTGCCTGACTTCTACATTCAGACTGGACGAAGCATTAAGAGGATCGCCCTCAACAATCAGGTGTACAGCCTGTAATGAAGCAGTGCATTGTACGTGCACACTTCACGTAGATTCTTTCTTTGGCTGGTCTTGCGAGGAAAAAGTAAATCAGACTCTATTTTTACTTTTTATTGCAAAAGAACATAATAGCAATGACAAAAAGTACATGCAGTTTCATTTTTATTGGAGAAAATGTGATGTTTTCCACTCAGTTTAAAACCCAAGCGACTGGAATTTATGACTGGAGTGTATTTTCTACTCTTCACCTTTGGCCTCTCCGTGCACAGGCTCCCCATTCCCAGGGCTTGCTAGTTCTCATTGGAGAAGGGGGGTCCTCACCTTTGCCTACGTGAGCTTTCCGTGTCTTAACTAGATAGGGCCTGGCTGTTCAGAAAGCACTTTGGTGGGGTGGGCAGGGTGTTTAAACAAAGTACAGGAAAAGCAATTTTCTGCAGAAAGTTTTTTTTTTTTTTCCTAAAAATACGACCAACTGTTATCCTAGCATATGCCTGCTTGGTATAGAGAAATTTCTTCTGGCTTCATCACTGATGTCATTACACTCCTGATTAAGTAAACCAGGACAATTAAAATACAAAAAAAGCTCTGGGCAGTTGCTGACAGTGACCTTTTCAGACTGGCAAGCTGGTCTTTCCAGTTCTCCTTTCTCCTTCCTCTTTCCTGGGATGTCTGAATCAGAGAAAGATGGCCTTTGCTCCAGGCCGGCATTGTTAGCAGCGCTCCTCTGCCAGGAGGCCAGGCAGCTGAGGCCCTCATTACTGGGCACTCACAATGTGTGCTGAATTAGGTTTCAAGGTTTATTTGTCCTTGGGAGCTCTGCTGTTTCTGTGTTTAGTGGGTGACTTCGTGGCCTGGGGTTAGGGGTCCCTCTTTCATAATCTCCAGATTCATGACTCATTTACCACATCTGCTTGCCGTGGCGTTAACCTTTCTCCCACTGAGATGCAGATTGCAAACATCAAGCAGGTCTCTCCATAACTCATCCTGTTCTGAAAAAACTTTACAACTTGGGGTGTACTGAGTAGCTTTTCTTTCCCTAAAATATCATGGTGAGTAAAACAACTCAAAGCCTAAGCTCGCCTGAACTGCTGAGCATAATAAATGTTCTAGGTAGTCGGGCAAGCTTTTGCCCTTCTTTCTGTAATTTACAAATTGTGTGGTTTTGCAGATTGGGCAACTTCTGCTGGCAGGCCAATGGTTTGCATTTGCAGAGCAAAACGTGATTGGTGTTTTGAAAGAATGACTCAGGTATGTACTAGAGCTCGGAAATTTCTGATAAGGGGGAAAACTTAAGGGAAATTTGAAGGCGTTTGTGAGGCCCCCTGGTAATTATGTTAGTTTTATGAGGTACTTCTGTTTCTGAGGTAATTTCCACGTTCACATTTCTTTTGAATAATTATGAGTCATTTCATTCATTCTTGAACAAGCACTGCAGACTTGGTGCTGTGTACTGCACAGAGTAAGTCTGTATATTTTTGCATTATTTTTTGTAGCCATAGTTGGTCAGTGTGTCTCTTATGCTTACCTTTTGCTTGGGTACAGTTCTAACTACTTTACCTATTTTAATTCTTTTAATCATCTTGTTGTCTTTGATAACTTAGATGTCTACAGATGAAAAAACTGAAGTATGAAGAGGCCAAGTTTCTTGTAACTTTTAAGAGGGCTCCAGGTTGTGCCTGTGTAATTCCTCCCTTCTGTGAAGGCCCCTCTTGCTTCAAGTGGACAGATTATGGCTGAAGTTGTAGTCACTTGAGGTTAGATTACAAAAGGACTATGATGTCTCTCTTGCTGTCTTTCTGTCACTGTTTTATTCAGCATAAGCTGCTGTAATACCATAAATCGGGTGGCATAAACAACATTTACTTCCCACAGTTGTGGGGGACTGGGAAATTCAGGATCAAGATGCCACATATTAAATACCTTGTTAGTGTCTAGTTCCTAGATGGCAATCTTTTGCTTGTGTCCTCACAGTGAGATGCGTTCTTATAAAGTCTTAAAAGTCATGAATCACGCTCATGAAGTCTGTCCTGATAACCTTCTCTGATCCTAATTATCTGCCACAGAATCTGCATCTTCATACTGGCACTTTGGGAAATAAAGTTTAAATACTGTTCATGAACTGTGGGGCTAGATGAGCATTGGGTGTGTATTACTTGCTGAGCCGTCTTGTGGGGAAGTCAGCTACCAGGCTGGGAGTAGCCCTGTGAGAAGGCCCAGATGATGAGCAACTGCTGTCGCTGGCCATCAGCCAGTGAGGCGCCAGGCCGGCACAGTGAGTTGGGAGATGGGTTTTCCTGCAGCTGAGCCTTGTCATGACTACAGTGATGAGGCCCAGAACCGGATGTCTAAACTGAGCTGATGCCCTAAAACTGAAATGATGACTCAACTAAGTTTGAAGATAAATTTTTTGCACAACAATGTGCAACTAGTGTATCTGTCAAGGTTACAGAGCTTTTATTTAAAAAAAAAAAAAAGGAAAATACAGATCCTCTGATTTCCTTCTCTTAAATGATTTTTATTATAATGCTATTTAAACATATCAAAATAAATTCAAGAATACAATTTTTGTGGTTATTGTATGTTAGGTTACAAAAGCACTAAACACCAGCAACCTCAGAATTCATCTCATATTTGGACGAAGATTCATAATTTTAAAATGGTAATGTGATGGAGGATTAAAGATGAAATTAAAGATTTTAAGGATTAAAGATTTTTTTTTTGTATTATTTGGGACTAGCTATCAACAGGAAAATGAACTATGTAAAGGCATCCTTAAATTTTTTCTGCAATTTGGAAAAGGTCTCTAAAACAAATGGTTACATGGAGATGACAAGCTGAAGCCAACAAATTCAAAGAGGTCCCAATTATATAAAAAAATAAATAAAATGACTGCTTTCTTATTTGTGTGCCCAAAAGGACATAGAGAGGTGAGCCTATGGCTGATTCCTAACGGGGGGAGTGTGAATGGATTTGGGGTTTGTACTTTGTGTTTTCTATATTCTAGAGGGTTTCTTCTTTTTTTGCCTGTGGGTTTTCCTCCCCCCTTTTTTTTCTTTTATGTGATAAGAATATATTTATATGGATCTTTTTTTTTTTTTTGTGGCTGGCTCAGCTTACCCCCTGGGGGGCCTGGCATGGCATGTGGTGCAGGAGATTGAACAGCAGGCCCTGCGCTTGCCTAAGCTTGCCTAGGCGGGTGCTCTAGACTGCCTAGCTATCTCACTGGCCCCTGGATCTTGTGTTATTTAAAAAAGTGTTGTCCTTAAATTTGGGGGTTATTTGAGAGTAGGATTTACATATTTAGATGTGAGACTGGTGCTAAAAATGAGTGATACATAGAAGATCAGCTTCCACCAGGAAGAGGCAGGACTTTCACTGTCATGGAAAAGACTCGTTGTTAGCCAGATCTTTGAATACGGGAGATGACTTGCTGAAATTGGTATTTTAATAAGAGTAATTCAAAGGTGGTGTGTGGTTGGAACTTGGAAACCTTGCAGTGAAGGAAATAGGCTAGAGGGTCTGGAACCCTAAGAAAGGCTTCTGGGTCAAGTGGAAATTCAGTGCTGGGGCAGCGGTAGGAGCAGAATAGTGCAGCAAGTGTGGACATCGGTGACCATGTACAAATACTTAGTCAGTGTGTAGTGTCACATTTTGAGGTCAAGGATAAAATCAAACCCATGACTTTTTGGGAGTTGGCAGTCCAGAGGAGCAGCATCCTTCATGATGGTCAACGCCTACACAACTGCTGCACATCAGATATCCTTCCTAGTACATTGTATTTGCTGCTTACAAGAACCCTAGAGATGTGGGCCATTACTGTTCTGTAGATGAGCAAAATAAAGCTCTTGGAAATCACATAGCTGGTAAGGGGAAGAGCAACAAACAGATGCTGGTTGTCTTGGTCCCTTGGCTGTGCTCTCAGCCACTTGGCTGTCCTGCTGGCATTCTTTGAAATCTAATACAGTATAATAAATCCATCATAAATCTGGGGCAGGAGAACTGGGTGAAGTGTAATACTTCTTGGACAAGTATGAAGAAGATAGCAAGAAACAGGGGCTTGAAGCATGAGTAGGAATGTGACAAGCAAGGGAAGAAGTAGAAACCACACTGCAAAGAAAGCATGCTGTAAGCCTGAGAGAGGGGAGCTGCTAAAACTGTGGCGTGCTGTGGAGGGCCTGCGTCTGCTTTCTTTAGGCACCACCGCGCATCATACCCGCTGTCCTCCCCTTGCCGAGCTTGTTTTGAGCAGGCTTATTGCACCATGAGTAGTGAAGTCCTTGATCCAGAAATTTTGTGTCTTCTTCCACTATCCATAAAATAGTAACAAGTTAGTTTATTGAGTAGGGAAAAATTAAATGCGGATCTGACAAAAATTATTTACCCATCATGTTTCTTAGGCCAGAAAGAATTGAGATTTTTTCATTTAGTGTGGAAAATTCTAACCCATTACTCTCCTCATCTGTGAACATTTCTTATTAATTTTTGGTTCTCAGGTACATATGGTTCCACAGTAGATTATTTTATTGAAAGACTTGATTGAGTTTTAGTTAGCATATAATACATTACTTGTGTAAAATATATAATTAAATACTTTTTTAATTTACCACAGTTAACCTAGATTACTTTTGTTTTTGTGACTCATATTTAAGCTTTTTAACTATGGAACTATTTAAGCAAGCACAGTAGTAGAGAAAGAAATAAGTTCCCATCATCTATTCTTATTTTTTTTTTTTTCCTAGTACTGGGGATCGAACTTAGGACCTTGTACACACCAGGCAGGCACTTATGTTGCTGAGCTGTCTCCCTGGCCCGCCCCACCATCTATTAGTTATCAAAAATACTGCCATTTTTCTTCTATCGGGCTCCTTCTTGTTTTTTGCTAGAATTTAAATTATTCCAGATATGATATTGTTTTACATTTAAATATTTCAGTTTATATCTTTAATAAATAAGATTTTTTGCTTTCACATAGCCTCAATAATATTATCAATATCATTATTATTAGCTAACAGAGGCAATGATAATTAATATCATCTACATAATTTACTAATATATTTATTTGCCCAGTTGACTTCAAGACTGTCTTTATCTATTTTTTTTTTTCTTCAAATCAAGGGGTGATGGCACATGTCAGGGACATTGAAGCAAGAGGATTGCAAGTTCAACCCAGCCTGAACTGAAAAAAAGAAAAAAAGATTTGAGCAGGGACCACAGATTGCACTTGATTAACATGTACCTTGGGAATCTTTTAATCCATAAAAATTACTATCCCACCTTTTTATTCTTCTTTGCCATTTACTTACTGAAGAAAGTGAGCCCCTTATATACGATTTCACAAATTCGAGATTAGGCAAGTTGTGTCTTTGGATGGAGCAGGCGCTGATCTACTTCTAGTAAAGTGGGAATTGGATCTAGAATTATGCCGTCCCTAGGAGCTGTCCGCCACTCGTGGAGCCCAAGTATATTAAATGTGGTGTGCAGGGAGTAGAAAATGTACGCTAGATTCCAAAGACACATTATGAAAAAAAAGACTAAAATGTTTCATTATTTTGGTAATATTAATCATACAGTCAACCATATTTGGGATATATTAAAATACATTTAAAACTAATTTTACTTTTACTTTTAGTGTTGCTTTCTTGATGTGGCTGTTGGAAAGTTGCAGATGATACCTGCAGCTTGTATTTCTACTGGGCAGCACTGGTGCTGGGACCTTATTAGGTTCAGGTTCAGCGTCTTTCCGTGTTGGCGAGGATACTACAGAGTGAGGAAGATGTCTCTTGCATCGCATTTGGAAGTATACTATTCAGTGAGGATGTGTTGCCCTGCTGACAGTGCTGATAAGCTTGCTGACTGGGAAGGAAGGAAAACCAGGGCCTGCTCGAGGGTAACTGGGCACTCACTGCCCAGATCTTCCATTCTACTGAGCATCAACATCTTCAAAGAATACCAGCGTCATGCTAGAGTGCCTTGTGATAGTCCTAGAGCAGGATAGAAACAAATGGCTATAATTACATCTGAGCACACATATAAAGAACACCATCTGAGCCATAAATCATCGCCCCTTCATGGCTTCTGTGAATGGCTATTGCTTTTTAACCAGTTATAGCTTTAGCTTCACTTTGTTCTTTCTGCCTTTTAGTGGGAATTAAAGTTTCCAATCATAGGCCTCCCATTTCATGACAGTATCTAATCAAGAGCAAAGCCCTGTTTCCTTTTCTTTCCCCAACATTATCCCAAGCTCGAATCTTGTAAGCATCCTCCAGGGGAGACCTTCATGGCTCCTTTTGGGGTATCCTGGCTTGTGTTGCAGTGACACAGTGGACACATTTGGACCCTAGCTTTGTTTCAAGCATATTCACAATCGTCTTGGGTTGTGTTGGAGCCTCATCTTTCCATCAAAGTGTTCATTTGGGTAGATTTTTAAGTAGGGGTACGACACTGCAGGTATTTGGGAAACTGCTGTTAGCAGCTCTTTATGCCCTTATGAAATGGGGCATATCAGTCCAAAAATCTTTACAAATAGGCCTAAGCCTAGTCATGGCCCATTTAGTCATTGTACTAGTTTGGTAGGGATGCTTTCAAAAGATACCACATGCTGGTGTCTTAAGCAATAGTCTAGAGATGGGTATGGTGGCACATGCCTGTATTTCCAGCTACTCAGGAGTCTTAGGTAAAAGGATAAAAAGGCAAGGGCAGTTGGGCAACCTAAAACGTTAGGGATACAGCTCAGTGGCTATGGGTTTACTCTCCAGTAACACACACGCACACACACACGCACACACAAATGACTTATCAATGGTTTCACAATTGTCTCATTGTTCTAGACACTAGAAGATCAAGGTGCTGACAAGGGCCGGTCCCTTCTGAGGGTTGTGAGGCAGAACCTGCCCCCAGCTGCTGGTAGTTTGCTAGCAAATTTTGTGTTTCTTGGTTTGTAATCATGTCACCCTGATCTCTGCCTTATGGTCACATGTTCTCCTTGGGTCTGTCTCTAAATTTCCTGTTACATCTGGCAAAGGATCCCATCCATACTGGCTTAGAGCCCATCTTAATGACTTCATTTTAACTTGATCATCTCTGCAAAGAACATATTTCCACACAGGGTCACATTGTGAACTACTTAGATGTTAGGATTTTTGACATATAGTTGGAGGGTGCACAATTCAACTTGTAACGGTCATTGACTACTATCAGAATCTTTTTGATATATATATATGCCAGTAGCTTTAGAGGTAAGTAGTTGCAGATACCTCTGACAACCTCACTATAACTAGTTTAGGTTCAAAGCAAGTCTTCAGCCAGATTCTATATACACATAAACATTTACTAAGTAAGCATGCATTACTTAGTAGTTTTAAGAACAGTTCATTAAACCTGATCAGTAAATCTTAGGAAGTCTCAGCCTCCTTTTTTGGTAGGGGCTTTAAACACACCTTGTATAAAGAATTCATCTGAGTTTGATGAAGTAGCTACAGGTAGGATTTAGTTAATCCTACAGGTAACTGCCAGCCAGAAACCTCTAAGATCAGCACTGGATTTGGCCCTGGGTGCCGCCCTTGTGAGCACAGGCCAGGTTTCAGGTTGTTAAAAGGGGTGAAGTGCCTCTAAATCATTTCACTGAACAGTATGGCAATCCTCTGCCAACAGCCATCAGTTCATAGCATTTATTACGTTAATGAGTCAGTCATTAATT